GAAACTGTATAAAAATGTTGAGTGTTGAGATAACAGTGCTAAAGAAACAAGTTATTACTGAAAGAGCACTGGAGACTGAAGTTGTAGCTACACATGGGCCAGCCAGCAGTGATTCGTGAAAACAAATAGCTTTGGACCATCTTGTTCATGAGAAACCTCAGATGGAGGCAGGGAATATTTCAGTCTCCATTTTTTTTTCCTAGTAGTTAGACCAATTTCTCAGTGTCGTTTTTTGTAGGTTTTCCCTTTTTTTCTTTTTTTGTTTTTTTTTTTTTGCACTATAGCCTAGAGACCCAAATGAGAAAAATAATGGCATGGAAATTTTTACTGTTATTTAGATCAGATAATTTGATGCTAGCATTCTGCACTGCAAACCAGATTCAGAAAGTGGAAAAAAATAAAATAATATTATGAAATAAAAATAAAATAAGATAAAATAAAATAAAATAAAATAAAAGCCACTATTGCACACTATCCTGTAGCAAAGTATCTACCATAAGAAACACGTGCTATTTTTTTTATGACAGCCAAACAAATAGTGTGTACAAGTAATGTTTCCTTTGCTTTCATATTTATTTAGCAAATCTAGAACATTTCAAAGGTATAAATATATATATATAGATATCTATGTAGAACATAGCCAAATAAATATATATGAACTGGTCAATGTGCATCTCGGTATACACGTCCTAGCTGTTTGGTTTGGGCCCTTCAACGTCCTGTTGGACACTAGCTGGGTAGACGTGGCCTCCCGTTGTGGCCACGAGCGGTTCCGCAGTGCTGGCCCCGGCCCTGCACCCCCTTGCCCGCCGAGCTCCCGCTCCACCGGCAGCTGGGGCTGGGGTCACAGAGCCATGGTGATGGGCACTGCTGGCAGTTCTGGAGGTACGGTTCTAAAGGTGAAAGGGGTTTAGGCAGAGAAGCTCCTCTTTCAGCCCGAGGGAGACGAGCTGGGCAGAGCCCGGGCAGGGCGTTCGCTTGCGCGGGGGCATTTGCCGTAGCGCGGCCGATCCAACGCGGTGACACTCAGATCAGGCTGCCGCCGACAGCCATAAGGGTTTTCCCTTTCAAATGCTGACTGTTATTTAAACCTCTCCTTGACACAAAACATTACCAGGTCGAAAGCACCCTGACTGCCAGAGAAATCGCTTCTCGGCAGAAACTGGGAATGGTGGAGTCGGACTCGCTGTGGATTTGTCCGGGCATTTGTCACCTGCCATTATTTGTCTAAGGAAACGTGTTTGACAATTTCCAGTTTTTCCTTAGATCTCGTGGTGGACTTTAGCCTTTTAATAAATGTTAGTATATCAGATCGTGTCCTTGACAGTATTTTACTTGTATGAACCATGATAAAACATTAAAGTCTTCATACTCTTCAGGCAGAAGTGTCAATAAGCGAGAAAGAGAAGCATAGCATATGATATATGTCAAAGTAATGTTCCTTTTTAGCTTTCTCATCAACAGTAAAAATGTTTACAATGTATGCCAAGATCTTCAGTTTCTGTCTAACGCCAGTTAAAGGTTCTGATCTTACAGAAATTGTGTTATAACGGCCTCAGCCTCATTGCTAGGAAACAATAGATCCCAATTTTTTTATTCCTGCTCTAACTCCTGTGCTGAATAGTGACTGGATACTGTACAGGTTTATGTTATATGGCTGCAGTTAAATGGTCTGATGCATTTTGCTCTGGGTTTCAGGCCAGAAGCATGCATTTTCTACAAGAACATCCCAGCAACACGCTGTAAATATTGAAAGTTAATATATTATGTGTCGATATTTGAAAAAGAAAGTACTTTGACTATTTCATTTTTTAAAAATAAAGGTGCAAACTGATGGTGTGTGATGTTGTCTTTGTTTACAACCCTGTATTTGGGATATTCATGTCAGTAAAGGGTACTTCCATGCAACTAAATAAGGGCTTCAGAAAATATTGGTTGATTCAAAAGCTGGGGGTCCGGGGGCTGCTAGCAAGATTTCATTTTACTTCTGATTTGCCAAAGTCCGTGCCTATAACTGCAGGTTTCACTGCAGGTGAAATCACAGGCAATTTCTGTGTGCAGGTTATTACATCTCATCAGAATAAACGGGAGAGCGAAAAAAATTCTGCTAAATGACTTTGCACTCCTGAGAACTGAGTGGGTGAAGTCAAGGGTGGTGGTAGGAGATGGAGAGCAGAGTGCAAGTACCTGTGCGTCCTGTAGAGCTGCCTCAAATAGATGATGATGAATGACTGTGTGTATCAAAAAGATGCTTGTGAGAAAAATAAAAAGCCCAGCGCATGCAGCAGAGAGGAGGAGATGGTGAACCAGAGGGGCGGAAGGAGTGTTTAAGGCTAAAGGAAAGGTTATGTGGTGAAAACCAGATCGGAGCAGCTGGGCTGGGCAATAACCCAGTGTGAGGGCTGAGGCTGCAAGAGCTATGCTGGATGGATAAAAGGGAAGCGAAGGGATGCTCTAGTAGAAGCGGGAAGAAAACCAGCCTGGGAGATGGTATTGATTTAGTGCTGCAGGTCTGTCGCAGCCGGGGAGTAGTGCGTGCTTGGTGGAGGCAAAACCAGAGCTGTAGCAGGGTTAGCTGCTGCAGAGGAGCTGCACTGCCCTTTCTGGGGAGAAGGCAGAGAAGGGAGGGCCGAGGCAAGAGGCACAGAGTCCTCGCCATGAGCTGCAAAATCAGCTGTCAGAGCTGGGGGTGCAGCACCCAGGGGAAGGGGAGACTTGGGGGGTGAGGGGGGTGGGTCATGGCAGAGCAACCGCAGCCGCAAGAGGCTGCAGCCCAGCAGCCTGGGGTGGTGGGAAGGAAGAAGCAGATGAAACAAGCATTACCTGGGAAATCATACCCACAAAATGTGGTTGCTGCTCTCTAAAAGCATCTGTAGCTCTTCACACCTAAGTCAATGCATGAAATCTATGTAATTTCCATATTGCCGTTCCCAAAGCCAAACACCGACTCTTTGTCCCCCAGGTACCATGAGCGTCTCTCTCTGTTTCCAACTTGTTTAAGCCTACAGCAATTCCAGGCCCTTGGGTACCCAAAAGAAACAACACAAACAAGCTTCTGTCTTAATAATTTACATCAGAAACTGAAACAACATTCTCAGCTTAAAAAAAAAAAAGGCATCTTCTGGCCCATTTTATGTATTTTTTAAGAAGAGCAATGCACTTCTGGAGTCAACCACAGTCAAACCAGTTATCCTCAGCTCACTGCCCTGCAGAGCAGATGAGCGGCTGCTGCTCTTGTGCCACAGGCTTTGCACAAGCAGCACTGACAGCCTCTGCCTGAGGTCAATAGGACATTTCTATAGGAAACAGCCCTTGGGCAAAATGGTTCCCAATGGTCCTCCACGGTGCAATCATACGCCACGGACCATTTCCAAGCACACCCTTTTCTGCTCCCGGGAGAAGTCATGTAAACCAGGAGTTTAGACCCAGCACTTAGAGAGCAGAAGGGCTCTGCGGGGAAGCCCGGGGGCACACAGGCTCCCTGCCAGCACCCAGCAGGTCTCCTGGCTTGGGGGGAGGATGGTTTGCAGGAGCACGAAGCCAGAGAGGAGCGACCAAGGAGCAGGCACGCAGCAAGCCAGGAAACCTTTAAGGCACAGAGGAGGAGGGAATGGTTTGATGGGCACAAGTGACAGCAAGGCAGCTGGTGCTGCGGGTGCCGCACTCGGTGCTGGTGGGGGGCAGCTGAGCACCTCCATGGCTGGCATTTGCTGCATTATGTAACGATTGGGAAAAAAAAAAAAAAAGCATGTAAATATTTTATTAAAGAGTAAGTCATGCTGGATCTGCTACTGTATGGCACTGAATTAAGATAATACCTTTTGTTTCAACCAAAAAGCAATTGTAACAAGGAGGCACACATGCAAACACTGAGTAAAATATGATGTGACTAGCAGGGAAAGGCAGAACATTTCACCACAAATAAAATTTGGCCACTATTTAGGCTGAAACTGAGTAATGAACTGAAATCATCTCACCTTTGCAACTGTATTGCTCCCGGGTCTCTGTCACGACGGGGAAAACCTTCCAGCCTTATCAAATGCTGCTTGGCACAGCGTAACCTTGCTGAATCCCACACCTGCAGCACGTTGAGCTCTGTCACATCCAGCTTGCCTTTAGTGAGGTCACAACAAGGCAGGATCCAGGAGACCAAAAATTAAGTAGGTTAAGGGTGGAGGGGTTTTTAACACACTGTTGAAGGAGGATACATGCAGGATATGTACCCCTGTGTAGGTACCCTGTATGAAGATACAAATATGCACTGGGACCCTTGCAGGGAGGTGGCTGCTGCCTCGAGAGCCATCACCAGCCCCAAGGAGCTGCGGTGACTCTCACTCTGCTGCTGAGCCATGGCTTGGCCGTGTTGGGTGGAATTTGTTCTGGTTTGTTCTCCCAACACTGTAGCCTGGTGTTTCTGGAAAATGCCTCTTCACTTCTTAGGAAACATACAGAAGAAGTTGGAAGTATAGGCACAAGATATTTAGCCAGAGCAACCCAAAGGTGGCCATACAGTGTTTAAGAGTTCTGCACTTCATTGGTTGTTCTCTGCTACTTTGTGCATTGCTTAAGCTTTTGCTTGTTTGTGCAAACCACAAAGTTTGTACATTCAGGCAGTGGTGGCCAGTTCTGCTGAGTCACAGGGCAGAGCACCTGGTGTGCTGATGTTAGCAGGCATCTTCATGGTGCCACTTCTGTAATAGCTTTAAGAACTGTATGAATGACAGACACACCACCCACCAAGGCAAAGACACTTCAAAGTAAGCAATTTTCTGAAGACTATAAAAGGGGACTTGCCCAGTTCTGCATAAATACCAACTACAACAAAGCGAGTCCAAAGTTAAGTAATGTAAAATTAGTAACTAATTATTAATTAGGAACTAATGTGGAAGTGAAAAATATTTTCTATTTGAGAGTACAAAGAGAAAACAAAGGCATTACACTATTTAGTAGTTGATATTTTTTATCTTAGAAAACTAAAAAAAACCAACCTTAATTCAAAACATTCTGAAACTTAAAACTTCTAAATTTTGAGCCAGAAATTCTATGAAATACACATTTCTGCAAATGTTACAAGAAAACTCATGGAGTTGTATAAACTAGCATATAAGTCATTCTGTTCTAGAGTGTGGACTAGAGGAGACATTGGAAGATATGGTTATGTCACACTTGGGGACATGTCTTCATGATGGCTGCAGGTGGAAGTCATGGCCTTCATTTCTCCCTGAGAAAAATAAAGATGCAAAAAAGTCTAAGACCTCCATCCTCACCTCCTTGGAGGGCTCTGCTCAGCTGCAGCCAAGGCTCCCTCCTCCCCGTGAATACCTGGGGCTTTCGCATGGTTGATGACCGGGTGCTTCAAGGGCGTTATGATGCCTTGGTTGGGTTTCTGGAAGGCCGAAATGAGGTTGTGCATTTTCCGAAAGAGCCTCCGGTGGACTCCAGGCGCTGTCTGCAAAACCAAAGGGTGAGAGGTGAGAGGGGATGCTGGGTGGTGAAAGTCTCTGCCGCACACTGGGCACTGGCACAGAAGTCTTGCCCTCAGAAATGTACACACCTCCCAGGGGAGGAGCCATCCCTGCACTTAGACCACCTGATGTGGCAACCTAAAATGAGTCAATGAGCCTTACTGCTCTCCTCCTCCCCACCAGGGCATCACAGCCTCCCTGCATTAAGACTGGTTTCCAGCAGTGTGGTGCTATAAGGCTGGAAGAGGGACAATTTCTTAATCACTACAAGAAAAACCCAGAGCCTCCCATACTTATTAGGCAAATTCCCAAGTGATCTTTCACTATTTCTGACCCTGATTTATTGCAGCCAGTGTTTTAACCTCCAGCCTGGGGTTTATCAGTGAGACACTTCCAGCCTGGAAATACTAGTGAGGCAATCTAGGGAGTTACCTGGCATTTACTGGGGACGGGAAGTCCTTACACCGCTACATTCAGGCATGGACACAGCCGCTTTGCAAACCTTTCTCTGAGCATTCAAACCAGTAGGCTTACATCTTGATTCAGTATTCCTGTCTGTCTCTTGAACAAAGGCAGCAGCAAAATGTTACCAAATTATTAAAAGGGGGAGGTTTTCTATCTTTCTATGTTAGTATCTTTTCAAACACTGAAATGAAATTGTGTCTGCTTTTAATTAAAAATCCAGCACTTCTTTTAAATCCTTTGGGGCATTCTTGAAATAACTCCTCCCCACCAAAGACATGGGAGGACAAGTATAGGTCATGCTGGACCCGAGGGACACTGCTCTCACCCAGCAGTCATGGGCTAAATCCTGCCTCATTGGCACCAGCTGGGGGCTTCACACTGGCTGGGATTTTACCAGTACTGTTTTGATTTCCTGCCTCATCCTTGAAAGATGGGCAAGACCTGAGCTTGATCAGAGACTAAACAGCCACAGGGAAGGAAGCAGAGACAGGAAAGCACCAGCTGCAGCCTATTTTGTCCTTGGAGGTACATTTCATGGGGATAAGTTTGATTTAGGCTGCTGTTTCTAGCAGCTGAGTCTTAGCAACACTTACTTAAAAGTTTCTGTTTGCTTAAGGGAAGGGTGGGTATCATGGTTCTGTAGCTAGCACCTGTTCCTGCAGAGGATGTATTGAGAGTTCTGGGCTTTCAGGACACCTACACTGAAATAAATATAAGGCTTGCCAAAAATACAGTGGAGGTGATGGAGGATGAGTTGTCGCAGTTCTGTATAATACCAGCAGGCTCCTGGCAGAACTGTGGCTCCATGGAGAAAGGAGCCCATGCTGGAGCAGGTTTGCTGGCAGGACTTATGACCTTGTGGGGGACTCACACTGGAGCAGTCTATTCCTGAAGGACTGAACCCTGTGGAAGGGACCCAGACTTGAGCAGTTCATGAAGAACAGCAGCATGTGGGAAGGACTGATGTTGGAGAAGTTCATGGAGGACTGTCTCCTTTGGAAGGGACCCCACACTGGAGAGGGTGCAGAGCATGAGTCCTCCCCTGAGGAGGAAGGAGCGGCAGAGACAACATGTGACAAACTGACCACAACCCCCATTCCCCATCCCTCCGCTCCACTTGCGGGGAGGAGATAGAGAAATCATGAGTGAAGTTGAGCCCAGGAAGAAAGGAGGGGTGTAGGGAAGGTGTTTTAAGATTTGGTGGGTTTTCTTATTAACCTACTCTGATTTGATTGTCAATAAATTAAATCAATTTCCCTGAGACGAGTCTGTTTTACCCATGATGGTAATTGCTGCGTGATCTCCCTGTTGTTATCTTTCTCCTCCTGTCCAGTTAAGAAAGGGAGTAATAAAGCGGCTTTGGTGGGCACCTGGTGTCCAGCCAGGGTGAACCCACCACACCCAGCATCCCTCCTGAGACACGAGTGCTCACCCTGGCATGCTGAGTGCATGACCACCCCCACCCCATCCCAAAAACCCTTCTGCTTGGGCAGTGCAAATCTACCGGGTGCTCCTGATGCCTTACAGGAACGAATGAGCAAATTCTTCCTGGGTACCATTCCCAAGGGTGACATCGATAATTATTTACTCCACAGTAACATGAGTCACTTTTACTCCCCCATCTGCTTCTCAGTAACCCCAGGAATCAGTCTTGTCTTCCAGAGCACTTCTGTTATAATAATGGCCATGGAATTATGCCTGTCTAGGAATTATTTAATATTTGTAATCAGCGCTCATTACTGTGCAAACAGAAAGCTAATTGTAAACTAATACACAGAGTACATCCAAAGAACAAGACTTGCATAAAAGAAACACAGGTTAACATTCCAATTCCACCAACCCAAACAATTGTCTGTGTTGCAAATGGTGTCATTCTACACTTGAATTACCAGGTTCTTATCATATGGGAGAAAATACATTTTGTATCAAGTTTAGGCTACCCTATATATGTTTTGCAGTAATGATGAATTAATCTGGAGATAAATTAACTTTAAAACACTGTAGATATTGAAAATAATTTCCTTAAATATTCCAACATTAATGGTATGTGGGATAGAAGGGAACTGATTGTGCTTGTCAAATTACAAAAACACAAATTTTTTGCCATTTAAAATGATGCAAAATAATGCACTATTGCATTATGCAACACCTGAAATGTAACAGGGAATTAATTTATGAGTTCAAGACTGTCAGAAGTGGCACCAAGACATCCTAGTAATGGGTGCACTCAAGATCGATTACCTTCGATGAAAATCAGATGATGCAGAAACATGAATAATTTGAATATATTTCATTAAATCAATATGAACATCAAAAAGGATGCAGAAATTTTCAGAAGAGAAAGGAGAAATACACACCTCAGCACTCCAGGACCCAGATTCTGTCTTGGACACTCTGTAGGTATAAACGTAACCCTGATGCCTGTGGAAAAAAAAAAAAAATCAACAGGTATTTACTACTCATTTCTACTGACAGGTTTCACAAGAGGCACACTCTGTCAGTTTATCTGTTAACCCTTCTTTAAAAATAAATTCATCCATAAAAGCTCTAGGTGGATAAAAAAACTTAGACAGAGTTCAACCTACTGGGTTCTTCTGGGTGAGAGGGATTGGTCTGACTTAGATCTAGTTTGGCAGTATTCAGTTATTCTAAGTTAATGACGTTGCTTTCATTCCTGCCTCAGCATTTTTAATTTTTTTTTTTCAATGACCTCCTTTTACTGACACACACCAGACATATTTTCCCTGGAAAAAGTGAAGGTGTATTATTAGCAGAAATCATTACTGTATTGTGATTGATTTAAATGCAGATCTTCCCAGAAGCAATAGCACGAATATAATTTGTTTGGAAAGCTACACCCACAAAAGCAAGGTAAATTATTCTTTGCCTTGCCCAAACATTCCTAATTACATAATCACAGAATCTTCAAATACTGATAAAGAAGACTTATAAGAACACAGAATTTTCCTTCTTTTTAAATCTCATTTGAGTCTTTCAAGAATAAGGAGTCACACATTAATAACACAAGACACACTCATGTCCAGAGTCAGTCTTACTTCTCTTACAAATCCAACACAATGAGTGATTTACATGGTAGATGATTATATCGATATCTAAAAATTTAACTCAGAAGCAGAGACAATTGAGAGTAGTTACCTGTGTGCAACATTAGTTTAGATGGTATCAGATGGGAAAGATTGTATTTCATACTACATAGATTTACATGAATACACACCAAGATTTTAGGGACTATTCCCTATTTCAGCATCAATTCTTATTCTTAAGAAAGCAGAAAAATACTCTATTTCTTTACAATTATACATGGTATTATAGCAGTTACCACAAAATAGCAGAAACCATCAATGACACAGATACCGTATGATTGCAATTACTTACGCTCTGTGTCATGGTTCCTGGATAAATTCTTGTTAAAAAGTCATTACAGCAACCTTTGCAAAGCGGTGTCTGATATAATTTACCCAAGTAGGAAGTTGTTAACAGTTGTCACGCTGCTACAACCCCACGAAGTGGGAGCAAAAATGCTTGTTGTGATTTGTGAGCTCTCCACCCCACCACTCGACTCCCACTGTGATTAAATATAGAGGCAGAAGACACAGAGCCATTCCCTCCCGTTGGGGCTGCGGTAGGGACAAACTCTCTGTGCAGCAGCTGAGACACTGCCCTCCTCCTCGTGACAGGGAACGTGCCTGATGCAGCCCCACAAGCCCACCACTTCATCCACCTCTTTGTGTTAACCTAGGGAGTGTTTTCTCTAGAGACACGACTTTCCACCTGGCACTAGATGGACATGAAGAGTGGCCCGCCATGCTCACTTCATGGAAACCTAAGGGGGAAAAGAGCTGCTGTGACCCCACTTCTTCCCCCAGCAAGCTCAACTGCTGCAGTCCATCAGGGATTTGGACGGGCCCAGAGAGGGCCCTCAGGAAGAGGTCTGAGCAACCTGCTGTGGCTGCGGGAGGAGGGAAGGACATGGAAGGACAACACTGTTCTCCTGTCCTTGCCATGCAGTGTTTGAGGACATGGCTCAAGTCCGGTTGCTTAAAAAACCCATCCCGCTAAGCTACCAGATATGTTCATGTTCAGGGAGTCTAATTATCTTCCATTAGGGCCCTTGGACAATCTTGTACCATCACATCCTTTCTTAAAACCTCTGAGACCCGTTCCTGTATTGTCAGCTTTTCATGAGTAGCTGATGTTCACACTAATCTTTTGTTTTAGAAATCACAAGGGGCTTTCCTGCACCTATGTATTTAACAGGCAAGCCAATATATGGTTACTGAAACCAGGATTTTACAGGCCATAGTGTACTGGGAAACACCAGAGAGGTCCTGGCATTTTGTCCCATCTCTTTGAAGTGGGTATTTGACTGTTCCCACAGTGATTTTTTTTCAAGCCTCAAAACCAACAGAATCAGCAAGTAAAAATCTAAAACTCACTCTCTGGCCTCCCGTTTTTAATAATACACTGTGCATATTACCCATGCTTGATCTTGATTGTCCCAAAGCATTCCAACTGCTTCAATCTCTTTAAAATCTGATTTTTCCACAAATAGCTCAGTTGTCCGGAAAGCTACCATCTGTTGTTTCTTTCATTATTTCCTCTATCTAAGAGATTGCATGACTTGAAGTGTTTGAGGGACTGGGGTGCTGCCCTGACTCTGAAATGTCTGATGGGCTTCAGCACTCTGCCAAAAGGGTTTACTAAGCTGGACAAATTGAAAAATAGAGGTCAGATAAAGTAATATTCAGGGCCAAAGCAGGGTGAGGTATAAAATAGACACCTATCCTGCATTTTTCAAAAAATTGCACTGTAATGTATTCAACCAAGCCCAGAGAAAGCACAAAGGATACAAAGATTAAAATCCCACAAGATACAGAAAAAGGAACGAGAATTTGGGAACATAGATGCTTTGAGCACAGTGTGGAGAATGGGAGAAGTATGACATTACTATCACAGCCTTGCGAGGGACAAGTGAGCTCTCCACTCACCCGGAAAACGTAATATTTTTCCCAGAGGAGAAAAGAAAAGGCTGAAAGACCTGAAGATGTTCTCACTGTGCTTAAACTGAAAACCACAACATCATCATCTGTTGTGGGCTCTGAAGCTATCAGTAAACTCTGCCACTCTCTCTAGATGGGTGATGGCCCAGGACCACCTACTCTAAAGGAAATGCACAAAAGGGAGGAGGAGGCAGTTGGTAAGAAGGTGAACAGTTAGATCTTCCCATCTAACTACTTTCCATTGGGATCTTTGTTTCCATAAAACGAATTACAGCTCTTCTGATAGGTACCCCTCTAACGAATATGATCTTATCAAAACTTTCTGTTAAGCAGCAGCAGCTTACTTCATTACCACTTCAAAGTGCTTTTTACCTTCCATGTGCGAGTGACACGAGTTTGATGAGCCAAGATCTCTTTACTGCTACAGGGGCACAGCCTCCCATGAGAAAGATTTTTATGATTTAAACTACCCAACATTAACTGAGATGAGTGTGGACAGACCTAAGATCAAGGTGTTTTTCTTAAAACAAAAATGAAATACAAATATTAAAATTGAGTTTGTGCAGAACAGTACCTACCAAAGATGCAACACTGGGCAAAAGCAAGTGGTGAAGTGCATTTACTAGAGCTTAGGTCTCAGGAGAAGAGAAATTCCCCCAGCCACCATGAGGAAACAGCTCAGTTTTCTATATTTTACTATATGACAGAAAAAAGCTCCTAATGTGACACAATGTTCCAATATGTGGTGTGGCCACGTAACTAAAGCCAGACCCAAACATCGTGTGTCCTGGACGTTGTGCTAGTCACCTGCAGCCTCTCGTACAGCTTATGCTTTGAAGCCAAGTCCACCTGTTGAGATGCAGGGCAAGTCCACCACTCGGTGACCTAACTCCACCCTCTGCTGGACAAAATCAACAGGAGATGGACACATCACTGAGAGGATTTCAAAGAGCCCTCTTATGGTGACACTGGCGTACCAGCATAGCCTGCGGGAGGACCAGTTCTTGACACCCAGGCAAAAAAACCCAACAAAAGGCTCCCCCATCCCTTCATCTGTCCCAAGGTAGGCCACAAGCCTCAGTCACAATTGCAAAGGTCATCTGTCGTGCCAGTGACACTCAAGGGACAGGAGCGATCGTGAATTAACCGCTTGATGAATGAGGCCCTATAAATTTTTGATCAAAGGCAAAAAATGCAAAAATGCTGATGAGGGGAAGCAGAAAGCAGCTATTCCTTTAAATACAATATTGGATAGCACTTACAAAAGAGTGGTTTGGTCACCACTGATGATATTTTTATGTCATCTCACTTATTTTTTTCATCTCCATAAGAAAGGGTGTGTTATACCAGCTGGGAACTGCACTAGCGCTTTCTCTGTTGCAATACCATCACTGGGAAAACTTCGTCAAAGGAAAATCTAGAAAAAGTTACTACTACAGGAAACAGTCCACTTTAGAATATAGACTTTTTTTTTATAGCTAGATAATTCCTCCCAAAGAGCCACAAAGGCATTATTCACAGCTGACATATTGAGACAGCATCTGTCTACCTGTCCTCTCCACTCCTCCTGTTTCACTGTCATCGGACTTGTTAAAGCCGCATTTACTTTAACAGGTGAATAATTACAATCTTCTGCACCGTTGAAATAGCCAGAGGATATTAGCCGCATGCTGCAGATTAAAATTAAGCATGACATTTCAGCTGCATGGTGTATTTTAAAATAATTTCCAAATGTTTTGTATCTCAGTTGGGAAAATTTATTAAACTAATTTGTATTCATTTCTGGATCCAATGGAACAAATAAGAAAGGGAGAAAGACAGATACAGGGGAAAGCCATGTCAGCAATAAATGACATCAATTTCTTCCTCTCTACATAGCTTTCTCTTCTGATGTCTTTGCACTGTATCAATCAACTTTTCTTACCTGGTATGTCCGCATGCCGACCTTATGTTGGAATTTCACTTCAGAATATTGCTTAAGAACCAGAGAGCAGTGTGGCCTACAAACAGTGGTCCTGAGCATTATCTATTGCCCATACTCAGTTTCTTATAACTTTGCCACATTTCAGCCTTTCAGCCTGAGATTTTTCTTCTTAGATTTTTGCCTCAACCTTATTTAGGGAGAATGCAGAGATGCCAGAAAAGGGAACATATTAGGCAAAACAATATTTTTTTCCCACATTAAAAAAAAATAATCTGCCAATTCTCATGGGTCATGCCCAGTTTTCAGAGTAAGATGTAAGATTTGTTTAAAGGAAGGTATATCTCTTGCAGTTTCCAAGAGAAGACAGCCTTCTAGGCTGCAAGAGAGGCCCTCTCTAAAGGTTGTAGCTGTGCCATGCCTGGGCTGGCCTCACCATGGGTACAACTAAGCAGTGTCCATGATCCCAAGCAGCAAACGATGTATGTATGTTGCTTGGCCTACTTTAGCAGGGAAAAAAAACAGAAGGTAGTTTAGATGGGGTGTCTTTGAAAGGAGGATTGGGATTGAGTGGAATGGATGTGGAGGGAAAGAAAAGGAAACCCATGTCTATGTAAGGAAAGAGCAATGAAAATTGAACCCCTGGGAGAGAGCAAGGCTAAATAAGTAAGGAAGGGGATATGCAGAGGTGAAGCATGAGCAGGCTTGAACAGGGAGCACCAAAAAATGCTGGAGGGGTGAAAAAGCCAGGAATAGAAGGTGGGTGGCTTGGAAGCAAAAGGTGTATGAAGCAAGGAAACAGCCATCAGCAACACAAGCTAAGTCAGCAGGCTGTACAGAATGGCACTGGGTAGTCTCAAAATGCATTCCCATGCCCCTCACATTGGGAACCCAAAGCTAAAGGATACTGCGGACCTGAGCCTCCCATGTCACAGTTTCTCTCGTGTGAAATGGAATTAACAAACTCTTTATCTCACAAATTGAGATAATGCTTAGAAACCACTTAATGGTAGCTGCAAAAATAATGAAACAGTCAGTTCAACTATCCACTTACGCTTATTCCTTTTTCTTTCTTTTTCCTTTTTAATGGTTGTATTTCCGCTTGGTTTATTAATCACAGAAAGGCCAAAAATTCTTGTTAGTTCATGTAGGCGAAAATCCTATTTAAGCTTAGAGCTCCTGACTCTGCCCTGGAATTTGCATTTTCTAGTTGACAAGCAGCCTGGTTCCTGGCTTATTTTGGTCTCAGACATACAATCAAGGTACAGAAACTTAGCAATTACCACCCATCAGCTAACCCAAGCTGAACAAATAGTATTCACATTGAGATGATGCGCAAGATACAAGCTCTATGTCAGCAAGAATGAATAAAATAGTTTAAATCAGTGTTTACAACGTCTGAAAAGCCAAACACAGCTACTGTAGCTTAACTCACAGCAGCACTCTATACACACCC